TGGGTGTGCATATTCAATTTGCCGATACCTAGCATACCCTGCAATTTAGCCTGCAGTCCGCCACTGTTAACAACTGACCGATCAGAACATGTTACTGCTGCCACCAAGGAGGTTATGTATTCATCCATGTCTTTATGTCTGTTAGCAGGATTTAATATGCAGAAACTAAATAATGGATCATCATAAAATTGAAGGATGGTACATAAAAACCTAAGGATAGAGATCATTAACTTTTAGAAATAAATGGTCAAAGGACAAGGTCAGGAGCATGTAAATTCAATTTCCTTCATTGAACTACCCTCGAGCAAAAAAGAAAATAACGGAATCGCCCATACATGGCCGGCGGTATGCACTCCGTGGAGTGACTGTTCTAGCTTATAGTCTAGAATATTAATAATGTCCGACAAAAATATCCAAGAAGCGTGACAGTCAATTATTAGTACAGATTTACAAACCTATTTGACAGCCTTCTCCTGCCCAGCCCATCTCGCATCCAGTCTCGCATCCACCATCAGTTTTAGTGCAGTTTTCCTGATTGTCACAGTGACATTTCTTATGACATTGTTCTCCAAAGTATCCAATTGGACAGGGAGTGTCTGCCTCATATTCTAGGTATAAATAATAAACAGCAGATAAAATGAAAAAGTGAAAGAATAAGAAATAAATGTCAGAGACAACTGTGGTGCCACATATATTAATACTATCATTAATATCATTCATTATTATATTAAAAAGGATAAAAAAGTTGTAAGGAGGACAAAAGACGAAAAACGAGAAAAATGAAAACAAAAGGATTAAGAAAAAAAGAGTAGGGCAGAGTGAAGGATAAAAAGAGTAGGAAGATGAAGAAAATGTGGAGAGAAAAAAAAACGATGAAATAGTTATGGACTTGTATGGGGCTGGCTGTGTTTATATAGTCTTCAAAATGGAAACATAAATAATATATTATATGAATGATAAAGTAAGAATTGAAAGAGTAACAGAATGCAATTAGAATCATGAGGTAAAAGTTTTGTTATAAAAACGAAAAGGTGGTTAGCCTTTCACGCTCCAATACTTCATTTCAAAACCTGGCTAAACGTCCAGATTTCTTGCTCAAGTTTTCTTAAGTCATTTCAAAGTCTGAAGTGTGTAATACCCGTATCAAATCCACATAAACCTATCTTGTGTGTATATTTATGTTGATTGACTTTGATATGGGATGTGAAATTCAGACTGACTACGAAATGGCTTAACTGTTATGATGGCCGGCAGAACCAGGTCTCCCAACTTTTTAGCAGAAAATATATAATGTCTATGCAGATTTTTTTATGATTGGCTCCCTCGCAATTATATAGCCATAATATCGGCGCTGGTTCGAACGGCACGCTCGCCTATGGTTCTGGTGGTAGAACAAGTCTTCTCGGATAAGGACTATAAACCGTAGGCCCAGTGTATACAATGGCTCGTGTGCACTATAAAGAACCCTGTACATCCTTCGAGAAGAGTAGGGGGATACCCCGGTGTACTGGAACAGACAGCCCCTGTGGTGGACGACGAGAGCTGCTGGTACCGGGTTACCGGGTAGCACAGACACGAAGGGACCCTTAGGGGCGAAGAAAGTCATTTATCGAGTTCCTAGTCCACATTTCAAGCGCCCAGAGCATCTTACATTAGATGGATTTGTGCGCTATATAAAACTACACTATTATTATTATTATATTCCCATTCATCTTAACAGTGCCCCTCCCCAAACCTTTGAAAAAGGTTCCGCCGGCCCTGGTTATAGCTGCAGCCTTTCCCCAGGGGCAGGTCATGTCAATATTTTCAAATCAAACTCCAAAAAGAAATATATAATAAATATTCATTTCATACCCACCTAAGCAAGTAGGTCCGGTAAACCCAGAAGAACATATTGATGAGTTAGAACATCCAATGGTTGTATTGCAGCCGGAATCACAATGACATGTCTGCATACAGTTCGTTCCAAAATTTGGAGCTACACATTCTGGAGGAAATTATTTTATTTGTGCATTACCATTTTATGTTTATTCAATTTTAAATTTAAATAAGAATTTGCAGTGAAGGCCTATAACAACAACTTTTAACTTTATTACTTGTAAAGATATCTCTGTCTGCTTATGAAAATTAGACCATTTTAATAGACATATATGTTTATTCTTATAATATAAATCATAATGTGTTGGCCACTCCTCTTCATATTTAAAATTAAATTCGCTCCCATAATTATAAAAACAAAGTCAATATGTGTTTGTACATGTTTAAGCAAACTAGAATGAATCGCACATGCAAATGAGAATGGGCCTTTTCAGGATTCAATCAGACTTTACAACAACTGGACTGATCAGAACGTGTTAATTTTTTCAGGAATAATTGCACATCACATGAACATGCACGTTTACACAAGTCTATACATGCATCACAATGAACCTTTCCCTAACACCGCATTCACACCAAATCTGAATTTTCGAATCAGAAGGTCTACCGAACCGATAATATGTGTGTAAGAATAGGGACGCTAGCGTTCAGCGCATCGGAAATGCAGTCCAAATTTCAGTTTAGCTAAATTTACACTAGGCACTAGATGTCGAATTATGAAAAGTGTAGGCTGTGGCACCGAGACCTCTGATGATTAGTGCCTAAAAATGTTTACAAAAAAATAATGACATAGGCCTATTGACTATTATTGCATATTTTGGAAAATATTTCAGCAGCTCGAATTTCAGTTCGGATCCGATGTGAATGCAGCTTTAAACCTATTTTCCACTAGGCGACTTTATTTGCACGAATCGACAGCGTCGGACATCGCCACCAACGAATAAGTTAATTTAGAAACAAATATAGGGCAAAAATCACTGATCTCTTACTATAATAGTTGGATTGCTCATTGGCCAATCACTGTACAGTAAAAAGTGAAGCCACCCACGAAATGTTCGTGAGCAGAAGTGAAGCATCAGTTTAAACAAGTTTCTATTGGCATTTTTAAAATTATTGTTATAAATAATGATTTTTGCAATGCTTTTTAACAAGGATTTTTTTCAAATCATCTAACCACACGACGCGCCTGTTTAAGCAGTTTACAAAAGCGAGAATGAAGTTGCGTTGTTATAGAGACGTCGATAACTAACAATGCAACGCATTTTTTTTAAACTGCATAAACATAAACAGACGCATTGAGTGATTAGAGGATTTAATAAAAACATTTCACATAAATTTCATTTTTTATTAATATATTTGTCTAAGTATTTAAGTGAACAATTTGTCTAAGTATTTAAGTTAACTCATTAGACCTTGTGTCTCACTTGACTATAGTTCGAAAGATTCTTTTAGTTTTGTTAACGAGATTCGCAACCTTAACTTAAAAAATAAAGTCATGGTTTCTTTTGACGTTGACGTTGAAAGTTTATTTACCAATATCCCGCTCAAAGAAACGATAGAACTTGCTGCTAACTCAATTTATAGTCATAACAATGAATTGAAAATCACCAAGAATAACTTAATCAAATTATTGACCTTGCTACTTCAGGCACTCACTTTTTGTTTAAGGATACATACTATAAACAAATTGATGGGGTTAGTATGGGTTCTCCCTTGGCCCCTATTTTGGCAAACTTATTTATGGGATTCCAAGAGAAACAATGGCTCAATGATTGTAAATGTCCTGATGTACTTTATTATCGTAGATATGTAGACGACACGTTTTGTGTGTTTAATAATCAAAATGAAGCTGACAAGTTTTTTAAGTTCATAAACAATAGACATATTTCTATCAAGTTTACAATGGAAAAAGAGAACGACAACAGACTAAGTTTTTTGGATGTACTCATACATAAACAGGATGATAAATTGAAAACATCTGTTTTTAGAAAATCCACCTTCAGTGGTCTATTATTAGGTTTTGTTAGCTACTGTCCTTTTAATTACAAATTAAGATTAGTCAACACACTTGTTGATAGAATTTATAAGCTAAATAACACGTGGATCGGCCCACATAATGATCTTTGTGACCTGAAAAATATCTTACTACGAAATGGTTACCCAATTCACATTGTTGACAAGTCTATTAAAAATAACACAATCTCTGATATTACAAAGAAAACTGTCAATGATGACAATGTTAAAACATTTTTTGTTAAACTTACATATATTGGCATATTTTCTGACAACATGAAATACAGAATTATGGATCTTGTCAAAAAATACTGTATTGATTGTAAAGTACATGTGATATTTAGTACCACCAAAATCAGTCAGTTCTTTAGTACTAAAGATACTATCCCCAATGAATCCCGATCCTCAGTAGTATATAAATTTAAATGTGCTGGATGCAATTCCAGTTATATAGGCTATACAGGCCGTAGATTAATTACGAGGATTGGTGAACATCTTGGAAAGGATAAAAATTCACACGTACTCAAACACCTTAATGTTTCTCTATATTGGATATTGATAATAATGAAATCAAATTGAAAATCAAAGAATCCCTTTACATAAAATGGAACAATCCTGATCTTAATATGCAAATTAAACATGTTAACTTAAAGCTTGTTTAAAACAAGCACGTTTTAAAGCAATAGTTATTATGCAAGCGCTTGGTACCTTGCATTTAACTATAGCTTCACAACCTTTTGTTAAACAATCCAATGTACATGATTATATATTCAGCATAATAATTAGCTACATATGATCCATATTAGACTTACTAGAGCTTTACTAACCCTTTGTTAAACAATTCATGGTAGTCAATTATATATTCAGAATAATAATTAGCTACATATAGCCCAGATTGCAGAATTACTATAGTTGGTCAAACTCATTGTCAAACAAATCAGTCTATCTATTTAATATTCAGCATAATAATTACCTATATACATAGTCTACATGAAAAGTACTTGGTTGTGTTTTTTGTTAACTGATGATGGGTTGATGGTAACCCGAAACATGTCTTCCATTAAATCTTTTGTGCTATTTTTAAAATGCGTTGTATTTTTTGTCAACTTACGTCCATTTGGTTCTATTATCAAGGATTTCAGTTTAAGAAGATTACCAGTTTCTTTATTAAGAAAATATGAAAAGATTACTCTTCGTTTGAACAAAGCCGAATTGGATTTTAATTTTTTAC